TCCTAAATCTTTCTCCTGATTCCCATTAACAGGGTTGATGGCAACAGTCGGAGCATGAACAGTGATGTCAGAACACACACACACACACACACACACACACACACACACACACACACAGTTGTCTTTGAGGTCAATTTGTCAGTTCAGTGATGACTGGGCTGATAAAACTATTGTGTGAAATTTACCAGTGAATGTAATAATAATACAAGACATGAAATATAATAATAGCAGTTTTTCTGGAGCACCAGTGGGTGTGAAACATGTTTATTCATTTTATCCCACAGTGTAATTTCAGTCCATCTGGTTTTGTTTACACAAATTCACTAATTGTAACTATTAAGTTTTAGGAGGGTGGAGAGAATTCAAGAAAATTATACTTGCAATTTCATGTTGCATGCTATTCAGCTGTGGTGGGTGTTTTCTTACTGTGGGGGATAACCACAACTAACCACCGAAAAGCACAGCACATCTACTTTTCAGGAGAACACAACTCCTCCTGAGCTGAGCTACCAAACTTACTGCTGTTACCATCTAGATGTTTCTTTTAAAGGAACCATACCAGTGCGCTTGTAAGATTTCGCTCCTTAAAGCTGCACTAATCAATGTTTTTTATTTCACCATTTGATGGAATCACTTATGCAATGTGAAAGGTGTCACTCATAGTGATGGACCAACAGAAAATTATCACTCAACTCTGCAGTTAAGCTCATTGTTTTGGTTTTGCAGCCCTCAACTTTAAGGCCTTGGTTCAGCCTCATTGCTCTCATAGCACCATTCTGGGCAACAGCATGCAGTTGTTTTCAGCAAAAAACAAACAAACAAACAAACAAAAAACTCTTGTAAACCCACTGGACACAATCTGTCCAGCACCAAACAGCAAACAGAAAAATTTAACATCTACATGATGAACAAAGTGGAGCATGTAAAGAACCAAATGTTTTCCTCAGGAGCTGATGGAGACCAAAGCTAGGATAAAAAAGAAAATATTGCATTTACAATTTTTAGGTAGTAAGGAACTCTCCAATTGATGTTAATGATTCTCCCTATCTACTGAATGTATGACCAGGCAACTATTTACTAACAAATGTTATCACAGCAACTTAAATTTTAACAATGTTACATCTTGGTTCTGCATTATTATTATTATTATTATTATTATTATTATTATTATTATTATTATTATTATTATTATTATTATTATTATTATTATCATCATTATTATTATTGTTGATGTTGTTGTTATTATTGCAGGTTTAACTACCAGTCTTGTATACTTTACATTCCTGCTTACCATTTTTCAAATGCAGGCTATACAGTTTATCATACAGCATTTTTGTCAGTGTTACATAAGCAGAGAGTTATTGGAATACTCTGCACTGCGCAACTTCACAATAATAACTTAAATTTACAGCAAGCTCGATTATTATAAAATGAGTGGAAACCAGCAGATGCTTGGAACGACAGAAAAAATGCATCCAAGTTGTTTTCTTCCTCTTTTTCCACTTCCTACCTCCACAACACAGAAGTGATTCAATCACTTCCAGATGACAACAGCATGCAGCAGGAAGATAAATCAGTTAGGACACGTAGGTTTGTTTTTGAAGAAAGCTGTCGTAACAGACATGTATTTCCCAGGAGGTGAGGATGGCTTCTGTGGAAGTGTTTGTGCAGACGAAGGCAAGGTCAGGGAGGACGACCAGGGAAAAATAAAAATTAATTAAATGAAATCTAATCAAATCACATTTGTATGTATATATTCATGCGCACATTTCTGCATGACATGCCATATGCCATTGGTCTATAAACACCACACATTAATGCAAATAAGGAATATTTGACCTTGAACTTGAGATATTTTACAGTCTACTTTGATTCATTAGCACAACAGAGTCAGTTTTTTCTTAACACTCACATCACATTCGACCATTTTGTGAAAATGCGAATTCTGTGAGAACATTTCACAGTTAAATCCTTCTTTTATTAGCGTTTTTTTAAAGCCACTAGAGTATAAATCTCTTTGGGTCGTGGTAAAGTTCATGGATTTGAACAGAATGATTTTGTGCCAGGAACACTCAACAGCTCATCCGGTCTTTAAAAGGGAAATTTCAGTTAATATGCATAATCTTATTTTTCACCACAATCATTCTCAATCCACTAATGAACAAAATCTCAATCTTAAGAACAAGATTACTACATTTCACAGATACTTTATTTGTGTACACCGGCTCATTGACAAAGTGTAGCTTTCAAAGACCTAATCAACGCACTAAATCTCATTTTATTATGGTCATAATAAGTCACAATAAAGATACAGAATATTTCTCAAAGTTTGCCTTAAATACTATTTTAAAATGGGTATATTTCCAAGAAGGCCATTTACCTCTTCAGATGTTTCGACTGAACCTTGATGAGGTTAATTTGTCACAGCTGAGCGATCAGCACAGCACCAAAGAACTCTCACATGTGCAGTATTTCTCCTGCAGGCCTGTTTATCTCACGGCCTCTTGTTAAGCTGCTGACTTTCAGATCAGGAACAGGTACTGAGGTCTGCTGCTGGAGGGGCTTCTGAGGGAAACTGGGTCATACAGACTAGATGAGGCATCACTCTGAAAGCTTGGCTCTGATTTTGGATCTTTTTGATCATGAGTGAGGATGTCATTTTGTCTGCATCTTAATTTGAAACATTCGTGTCTGACGACTTTCGTGCTGGGATCCTTGAGGTCACCTTACAGTAGCTCCTTCAGCAGCGGTTCAGACAATATGGTCCTGAGTTCCCAAACTATATACATAACCTTAAACACAGGTTCTCCGCCTCTCCAGGGAGTTTTGTTCTATTACCATATCTGAACCTGAGCATGGCGTCAGGCCCCGGTGCTTTCAAACCTCTCTTTGCCAAAGCCAGCAGCTCTCTGCACCATCAAGTCCTTCTATGGCGAATACAAGAGATGAAACAGAGAGGGCCTTTAAGGATACAGCTTCTCTGACATCACTGAAGTGTGCCAAGCTCCATTGGTGGTTTGTCTCCTTGTGGCTGCAAAATGCAAATACATCTGAATGACAGGCAAAACAAACAGATTTATATTCAGTCCCACAGTTTGCCAACATTATCAGGCTGATTTCCAAAAACAGAAGTTTCTGTCTGTTATCATTTCCTGACAGTTCAATGTGAATGCTCTATCGGCTGCATTCAGTTTTGCACTCATAAAGTTGGGGGACTCTCAGGAGACAAGATATTCTGGCTTTTAGTCCCTAATATGGGTAAAGCTCCATAAATACTGGATCCTGCACTTTCCATAATGCAACATGAAAGCATCTTTGGCTGACCTTCCCTGCCGGGGACCCGTTCCTCGTATGTGGATAACCGAGTCATCCAGATTATAATGTTGACGATGTGACATCAGAGTGGATTTCAATTATTTGAAGCAGTTTTCAGTTCATCTGGGAGCTGTTGTCAGCTCTGCAGCAAAACCTGCAAAAGTCTAGCTTGACAGTTAGCCGGATTATGACTTTTTAGGATGAAGCCCAAACATGAACTCATTTCCAGATACAAATGGATCCTTTCTTAAAGATATGATGAAATGATATTGATATAATCATAAATAAATTATGATTGTGTGTTAATATAACAACTTGACAAACCAAATCAAATTTAGTTTGAAATACTGTTGTATGTATGATGTAACAGCTAAGTCATAATTACTGTGATCAAATAGGAAATAACTCTCGCTCTCTGGCTCTAAAAATAGATTGAAGCAAATGTGACACAACAGAACATTTGTTGAAAGACATTAACTGCTGGACTAAGTTTACAGTGACCTCTGGTGGAATTGTGAGGACCCAACAATCATTTTTAAAGAGACTATGTGACTTGCTCCAGACATCATGTGATTGGACACCTCTTTAACAGCTTAATAGGGACTCTAATTTGTATGTTCGTTAGAAAATCACCAACAAACAGAGGAGACTGTTTTTTTTTATATCTTTATATTTGCCACACGACTAAAAGAACTATACAGTGTATGTGAGTGTACCTGGAGCCTGGTGTCATTCTGATGTGTTTGCTTCTTGCAGCCACAAGGTGACAGAGTAGTAGTGCAGTTTAGGAGGGTGATATGTGGACATCTGAAGAGTATTCTGTGTATGTATTCATATCTACTTACTCAAATTAAAATACCCATGTATAAGCATGTACAGATTGAAGTAAACATACTGTAAAATATTTTAGGTGATTATGTAAAGCAACTGTTGTTGGTCAGTTGTTATTCATTTGTGTTAATCTATGGTCTTATCACGGCGTTGGACCAGTTTATGGAGTAGTGTCATCGGGGTTATAAGTGAAGACAATGCCTGGCCTGACCTCTTATACCTCTTGTGTCCTAATTGGGTAAGGCGGTAGATAATAAGTGTCATTCAGAGATTATTCATTCATTAGTAATACCTCATCATTAGCCATACCACTACCACTTTTAGGGTCGCGGGGGCACCGGAGCCAATCCCAGCTGATATTGGGCGAGGGTGTGGTACACCCTGAAAAGGTCGCCAGTCTATCACCGGTCATTCAGGGATTCATTCTCCAGGATTTCTAATACCAAACAACTGAAAGAAAATCAACCATTCCAATAGGGATAAACATGGTCATTGATTCAAATAAAAGATATACTATACAAAAAATGAAACACTTTAGATTCACATAACAGCTGTGAATGTTTGATTGGAGGGGGTCAAACCAGAGATTTTTTTTGTATATCATTTTATTTGAGTCAATAAACATTTTCATTTAGTTTTGGCGGCATGACTCGTTATCTCCCATCTGCTGTCCCGATTACACAATAAGGACACACCCCTGAATGAGTGTAAAAGAGGTCAGGCCAGGTACTCTCTCTTTTAGTTTTGAAACCCTGATGAGGACCTGTCAATTGTTATGAACAAGCCATATAATCAATGTAAGCTCTTTTCAAGTCACTGATAGTACCCATCCCAGTTACACAAACCAGACACAATCACAATAAATACTTTATTTTCACCATGAAAAATAGACAAAAGATTTGAATATACAATAACAATTTGTCAACCACGTTTCCATAGTTCCATTAGTTTCAATGTCTTCTTCCTCTGGTTTCAAATATACATTCTTTTGTCTTTAACTTACACCAGACAGCAGGTGTTTGTGTTAATGGCAAAACACAGGAAAAAAATAGATTTCTCACGTACTGTAACAAAGTCTCAAATACATTACAACACAAAGTACAAAAAGACATTCTTTGGGTTGGTGGGTGAGTTAGTCCATGCCGATGATGCCGTTACAAGCTGCCAATGAATGCAGTAAATTCTGTGCCCGAAAATCGCCTGCAGTTAATCACTGACTACAGCTGTTTTCATCATCACCCGGTTTCATTTAGTCACGCCAGTAGCTCTGAAGTGACATCCAACTTTTGCCTTCACTTCACAGTCAAATATGCTTTGAGAAAAAGCCAGAACCATGCAGATTGTGGGCCTTTTCTTTCGCTTTCTGTGCGTTTTATTCATTCTCTTTGAACCTCTTTCATGTTTCGCTTAAAATGCAGCTGAAAGAATTCAGCAGAGAATGAAAGACAACATGTTTTCCGCATTAAGATAGGAGCAGATGAGTGAATGTAGGCACACACGGCAGTTCCTACATGTTTTTTTATATGCATTTAATGTATGCCCACCTGTGAAATTTACTGCATGTTCAGGATGTTTGAAGCCACGAGATGCCTTCCTCCCCTGTCGCTTCTGTCCTGACGACCAGTATGCTGTTCGTACAGCCTGCCTGCTGCTCTCTTTGAGCATTAACTGTACATTACTCCATGAGCCTAACCTCCACTGAAAATATATGAGCTCCTTTTTCTCAGCAATCAATAATGAATACTGCACCTCCTTGCAGAGGAGCAGCGTGGCACAGTAGAATCTGGGTCTGAAAGCCTCATAAAAAAAGAAATGAATGCCTGTGAATGAGGCTTTTGCCCTCCTGACTTCTTTTCCATCTGAACACAATAGCAGCATTGATTAATATCAATTTGCAATCATACTTAAGTCGAGGTATTTTTACATTTTGCAGCTCCACACCTCACTATGTCTGAAGGAACAGACGCAAATCTGCTTTGGTAAATGCTGAATCATGACACAGTCCACATCACAATGGATTTAATGATGCACATTCTCACGTAAATGCAGTCTGAGTGAGGGTCACAGCTGGGGTTTGCTGTCTTGTAGTTGCCTCGTGCATGGAGCAGTTCTGAACTGAGGCAGGTAGAGCGGGGAAAAGCCACACGTCGACGCTGACCGCCGCTCTGTGCGCTCGCTCGATTCCTCAGGGCCGAGCAAATGGTGCGTCTCCACGGGACAGTCTTCTCTGTTCAAAACTACATTTTTAAGCAGCCCAATTTTTGTCTCCTCTTCCGTCTGCTGCTCCTCTTCCTCCTCACTCTCCTCATCCTCCGCTGGATAGTCCATTCCCAGATAAAACAAGTCCTTCTCTTCTCTCACCTCCCCTTCATCTTCTTGCTCCGATGTTTCAGAAAGCTCCTCCACAGAGTTGTACGAGCAGGAGTGCCGTGGGTCGTCCATCTCCCCGCCCCGGCAGCTGTCCAGCTCCCACAGACCACCGGGGAAAGATCCTGAAATGTCAGAGTTGTTGGCAGAGAAGTTGCCCTCGTCACTGGAGCTGCTGCCACTACCGTCCTTGTAGTGGAGGTGAATGGACTGTTGCTTCTGCTTTGCACCAGACAGCAGCACGGTGGCATATGTGACTGAAGACTGGGCAGAGCTGTCAGTGCTGCTCGGCGGCTGGTCTCCCGGGGGATCGACTGGCTGCAAGTCATCTATCCTTGGATGTGAACTGGTTAAAGCATCCAGATTAAGGGCTAAGGGAGGAGCTCCATCCATTAGCACCTCACTCTCTATGAAGTGGGTTTGGTCGACCTCCGAGTCAAACCCTGGAGGAACGGAGATAGCTAAGTCAGTGACTGGGTCGGGAGTCAGGGATACAAGTGGGGTTTGGACCAGAGCTGTGGTCAGAGCTGAGAGGTCAGCTTTGTCCATTATGACGACTTTGGAGATGTTCTCAGAGGGCAGCAGCAGCGGCCAGGCTGGCAGGCCGTCTGGGGGTTGGAACAGGTGGTCAAAGGTGTCAGTCTAGAAAGAGATAAAAAAAAAAAACAGATGTTAAGTGCTGATGTATAAAAAAAAATATATGAACACAAGAGGGAGAAGAACTGCACATTTCCTGTCAGTGTATTACTCCCTGAGGGCTGCATTGCAAATGACTCATATAAAATAGCCTGTACACTGCTGTTATAGAATGAATGTGAAGAACGGAAAACATGTTTCTATTTCTTTATCTATCAAAGTGATAAAAAGATAACTTGACTTATGGACATTTCATATTGTATTAAGTTAAAATAACAGTTCAATATTTTGGGAAATGCACATGTTCGCTCTCTTGCTGGGAACAGGTTGCCTGGCTCTGTCAGAAGTTTAAAAAAAAAATCTCATTAACATGATAAATCTTGTTTTAATCCAAACAAACTGACTCCTGACTGTAGCTTGATCCCATACAGACATGAGAGTGGTGTCATTCTTCTCATCTATCTGGAAGAAAGCAAATTGTCACATTTCTCACAATGCTTTGTTTACCTTTTTGAAGTCTAGTCCTTTAGCCCACGAGCACTTGTTTGGGTTGGGTACATCCTTCCACACAAACCTTTTCATCCTGGGAATGAAATGCAGCAGATATTTACGTTGTGTGTACCGTCTAAACACTACCTGATTTCTCCTCCCATCAGCTACCATCAAGGCCAATTACACCCTTGTGACCTGTTAAATGTCACACACGAAATTAGAGTCGACCCCAGAGATTAACATCATTTATCATTTCTTGCAGGTGTCAGGGTAAAACACAAAGTATACACTGATGTCATAGTATGAAAGTAAAATATGAAAAGAATACTACAAGATCTGCATGTCGTAAAACACAACAGCAGCATTCTGACATTAAAGGATTTAATTTCAGTTGCTTTTTACTGAACAGGTGCTCTTACTGGTTTTGAGAGAGGACCAGAGTGACGAACAGGACAACGGAAAGGAAGGAGATGATCATCAGCATCATGTAGGCTGCAGGATATCCTCTGGCAGCTGTAACAGATGGAAATAGAAACAATGCGGTGATGCTGAATACTATACTGCTACAACAGCCAGAAGACCTGTAGACATCAGGTGTACCCATAGTGTGCATCGGCTCCCCTTCTCCATCAGCAAACACAGGGTACAAGTAGAAGCCGTATTCCTCAGAGCCAAAGAAATCACCTGTGAGGCGATAAATAAGGTCAGAGGTCAGCTACAAGAAACAAAATAAGAACAGGAAAAAAAAAGAGAGGAGAACGTGTTACCTCTTAGATAGACGGGACGGTCAGTGTAGGGAAGTCTGGCCCACGTTTCTCCACTGCGGACTTTGTGATGATCAGACTCCTGCTGCCTCTGTGGAGACCACTGCACCACCATGAACAGAGGCACAACAGAGCTGTTGTCCAGCAGGCTCCAGGACAGAGACACACAGGTGCTGTTGATAACCAACACGCGGAACGAACGCACACAGCGGCCTATAGACGAGAAAGAACAGAGGAACAGTCAGTGCAACACACTCAGGGCTCTATATACACATGCTCAACACATAACAACAGGGACCCAAAGTAAAGTTTCCTTGTGTAGCAATGAGTAGATGTAAGTATTTATTAACGTATGTTTTAGTTGCTTTAACACAGGGCACAAGAGGTCACTGGTGGTTGACTAAATATGAAAATGATGTGAATCATTTGCAAATGTCTTGCTTATGCCAACTCAGCTGTTTGGCTGCTAATAAAACTGAAAACACATTTTGTTTTCATACTAATGAGACAGTGTCTAACAAACAAATGACAAAACTGGCCATATTCATGGAAAACTATTATATTGTGCAGTTAGTGATTTAGCCTTCTCTGAATTTGAGTAATAGGAGAGAGAGAAGCACAGACATTTCTATACATTAGGCTACACAGAGGACGGTCATTAGAAAAATTTGCCTTGTTACCTGTGTTGGCTGCTAATAGATTTACTACAGTAAAGCTAATGGCTGCAGGCCTGAAGTCAGGGCTTTTATGTGATCCCAGAGACACACATTTTTTCAAGTGTAATGCTTAAATGGATGGCTGTGACTGTCGCCAGCTTTGACGTACGTGTTTCTGTCATGTATTGTAAGGCACAGCAGATGTAAACTGGTCATGGTGGCAAATTTAAAGACAAGAAAGATCTGTTGAAAAGCTAAAAACAGCTCTAATGCATGAGAAGATCTCAGCTTAACAACCTGAAAAATAGTAGCCAAAGTCATGTCTAATAAATACCTAGAGGAAATGAAACACAACAAAAACAGTTGGTTCACTTATTAGTGCTGCCAACTTTCACATAGTTGGAAAGAAAGAATGTGGATTACTGGAAACTCTCAGTGAGTGCGTGTTTTTCAGTATTTCTAACCACCTTATTGTTTTTCTACTACACATGACCTGCGTCTGTGAATGTAAACAGTGACCACAAGCCTGTGTTGATGTACCGATGAAAGTCTGAGTCATTGATTTTAACTTCACTCTTGTAGATTTGTGCATTTTCACTGTGCAGCAGAACTGCAAAACCTTTTGATCTCAGCCACAGTTTTCAAGGCTTTGCTAGAAAATAAGAGTTTAAACTACTGCTGCAGAATCCAGCTGATCTCTACTGGCTGCATGTTTTGTTCTCAGGCTTCAGGGTTGTTTTGAAGGTTGATTAAGTGCTGATATGATTGTTCACGTTTCTGTAAGATTCTGAGTTCGTGTCGTTCTTGTATGTTTGTTGTCTGTATCTCATCTCATATTGGTGCCTTTCTTTGCCAGGACACGCTTCATAATTGGATTAGTCCTGACGGTATAATATAACAAGAGTAAATGAGGTTTGCAACTCATCTCAGGAACAGGCTCAGTCCACAGTGGCGCGCACAGAACCACTAACTATCATGCGGATTCATTTTCCCAGCTTGCTCACGTTTGTGCTGTCTCTCCAGCGTCATGTTGATGTTGTTTGGTGGAGCTGCCAGGCTGTTGTAGGCCTCCACAGTCACAGCGTGGAGCCTCCTGGTTCCACTCGAAGCTGTAAGGAGGACTACCGGCTCGATCCACTCCCTCGTCACAGTGCCGCTCGAGAAACTGGTGTCTGAACTATAAATCCGTCCACGCAGTAGGAGCAGCCCCGACACTGGGAGACTCTGGAGAACAGAGCAGAAACGTTTAAACATTTTAATGATTAAGCCTTAAATCATAGGCTGGTGTTATTCAATACTTTTTTTACTGTCGACAAATCCAATGAAGAGACCAAGACCAACAATTCCCCAGTCCTGTCTCCATACTTTTTTTAACTCTTGAGCAATGTCTCTGGCTCTTCAGCCCGAAAGCTCATTCTACTGAAGATGAAAATGATCAATAAAAATAAGGAGTAAATGAGCATTTCTTGGAATATTTTGAGTTGCAGATTTGGTGCAGTAGTAATTTCCTGCAGCAGGGTCGTGCACGTCGGAATGGACCCCTAAACCTAACCCCCAAGTAAACTGCAGTGCCTGTTTCATAGTAGTGAAGGAAACATGTTATCCAGGTGGTGACAACAGAGCTTGCTAGCGACACGAGGAATTGGCCACACTGACAATACTTGCTGATCGTTACTTTTTGGGCTTTTTACAGGATTTGGTGACAATAAGAAAATCACCGGACTTAACCTTAAATTATAAGCCTTGCATGTATATTTTGGCTTGCCTACCTCAAAACAGCAGCGTGACATTTGTCTGGTTTTCTGTATGAGTCACTTGAAGAACCTCCTCCAGAAGTCAGGGCACGCTCAGGAGCTGAGGAGGAACGACATGTTACCCACACGCTGCAGCTTTTACTTTCTGTTTCTCTATTAGCGACGGAGGGTGATGGTATTTGTGTGGCCATTTTCTATTAGAGCTACAATCAGAAGGTCAGGTGTGATTCAAAGGTTCACCATCAGGCGTCTGTCAAGGTTGTCATTATCTTAAAAGGTTAACGTTATTTGACATGATTTACCTCTGCTGTTTTGTGGAGTGGAGTAGACCAGGTCGCTCCACTCGCTCCAGTAAGCTGATGTTGATGTGCATGCAGCGCACTTGCACCGCATACACCGGCACTGTCCGGCACCACAACCTCCGCCGAGGAACACGCACCGGACTCTGGACCTGCAGCGTGAATACAGAAAGCTCATTTACACAAAAAAAAAACAC